ACGATCAGACTTAGTTTTTGTCCATGACAGTCATGACTTTTTCTGAAGGGAGTATTTTGGCTAGTCCAATTGTGCGTTCTGTAGATGACGGTTCTTTAGGTAATGTTCATACCGGAGTACATAAAATCGACGTCGAATTTTGACGGAGCAAAACTTGCCAAGATTGTGAGGATGAACGACATCAGTAGGTGATATTATTTCCTGAGGTCATATAGTTTTGTTCTTTTAGCATTAGGGTTAGCATTAAATCACTCTGTACTTCAGCAAAATACAATTAAACCTGTTTGATTTTAGGTTCCAAACATGAAGATGACGTAAATGGCGTATTAGGAGGTCAGTTGATGACACGACCAAATATTGGCTTCTCCGAAAGGCTTTTCTTTGAATACATTCATCAACATATGTGTGAAAGTAAGATATTTTCTGACATAATGCATAATATAGATAATTATTTTGAAATCAGCGAGGGTGTAGGGTACATTTTGTATGCCCTGGCAGTACGCTGCATTTAGAGTTGATGGCTCGCCGAGGAGAGCTAGAAGTTCTCAAGAATTATGGATTTGATGCCGCCTTCGCGGAACAGTTAGACTTCTGTGGAATTGGAGTAATCAGGTGGGACCCAGGTCAATTCATATGCAAGATATACTCAATTGTTGAACTTTAGGTACCTTGGAATCCAAAATCTATTATGGATCTCTACAACACCGCTCATGGAAACTGTGACTTACAACCTAGGTTCGTTGTAGTTTGATTTTCTACGAATATTTAACGCTTCTTAGTTCTTCAGGTGTGCCAACGCTGCCGTCATATGTGCCGACAGTAATAGAGAATGACAATGGAGATACTATGGATTTTTGGCATAGGGCTTATAATTTTTATATGTACATAGGAACGATTTATGTTCATCGACGAGGAACCGATTTGATTACGGAGGTTGGGAATTTGATTTAGAATGGAAATAACTTTTAAATATGCTTTCTAATATTACATAGATTATCAATAATTT